GGGGGGCGGGGGCGTTCGCCCTGAGGTCGGGCTGAGCGTCCTCAGTCCGCCTGGAGAACACGGAGGACCCGCCACTGCGCGCAGGACCCTGTGGCCGAGGCCCCGCAGCCCTTCCCCGCCGGCGGCCGCCTGACCCTGCGCCCTGCGCTGCCGCTGCCGTCGCTCCTGTTGGTGCACGTGTGCGCGCGCCCTGAGAAGCCGCCTGGCCAGGCAAGTGGCAGTCCCCACCAGCGCGGTGGCGCGGACTTCCCCCTCCCCGACCCCATCACAGTCCCTCCCTCCCCCAGGTCACGAGGCTCCGCGTTCTGCCCCTGACCCGAGGGCAGCTGGTTCTGGTCTGGTCGGATGAGCACGTGGGCTCCAAGTGCGTGAGTGGGGCCACCCCTACCCCTGCCTGGTCCTAGGCACGCCCCTGGGACCCGACCCTGTCACCCATGCGTTCACTCTGCCCACGGCTCCCCACCTCGCAGACCTGCATCCCTTCACCTCACACACTGTGGGCCTGACGCCAGGCCCTGCCAGTGGGTGTGGGTTCTCCTAGGGGACATGAAGTGGACAGTCGGGCTCCAGCCCTCTCTCCCTCCCCTGCTGGTGCAGGAAGAGTGCCCAGGGGCGTGGGGAGGTGCCAGAGGGAAGGGGGTGTGGGTCCACCCAGCCCTGCCCTGCCTGCCCCAGCCTTGAGGGCCATCTTGACCCCAGCCTTGATCTTGGCCTGTCCTCCCCAGGTGCCTGTGGACATATGAGATCCAGTTCTCCCAGGATGGCAAGGTGTACACCCCGGTCAGTAGGAAGCCGTCAAACTTCAACCTGTTTGTGTTCAGCCCCGGTGAGTCTGCCACCCATGGCCCTGGCCTCAGCTACCCCATTCTTGGGCCTCAGCGAAGTACTGGTTGGGGGTCTCGAGAAGCCTGGGGTCAGGGGACGTGGGCAGGTTTGGGTTGACACACATTCAAGTTAGCACACGTGTCCCCGTGTCTCCAGACACAGGTGCTGTCTCCGGCTCCTACCGAGTTCGAGCCCTGGACTACTGGGCCCGGCCAGGCCCCTTCTCAGACTCCGTGCGGTACCTGGCAGCCCCTGTGCCGGGAGGGCCACCCACCCCCAATAACCCGTGAACCTGTGCTGAGCCCCGATGGGCTGCACCCAGCAGCCAGCCGGCCAGGCTGCTTTGCTCCCCTCCGCCACCACCCTTTACAAAATACTTTTATATTTTATTTTTTTCTTTCGTATCTTGGTACCAACACCCCCCTTAAAGTGGCTTTAGTCTCAGGCTAAGGCCCTAGGCACATTTGAGGGTGGCCACAAGGGTAAACCCCAGCGGCTGAACTCCTGAGGACCCACCTGGAGCGAGGCCTGTTTCCTCTCCGTTCCCTCTCAAAATGCCCCCAATCCTGGACCGGAAGTGTGTTGAGCCCGTGGAGGGCTGGGGGCCTGTCCCTGGGCCAGGCTGGGGAGCCAGCTCAGCCCTGCCCACCCAGGGGTTTCTGCCCGGGATCCTTTGCTTTCTTGCTTGTTCTGCAGAGTGGGGAGCTGAGGCCCCATGAGGGAAGACCCCTGTACCCCAGCAGGGTGGAGGGTGGGGTGGGGGTACCCCGTAGGGGCACCCCTTGCAGCCCAGGCTGTGGCCAGCAGCAGTGTCCACCATGGTCTGTGTCTCCTCACCACGACTGTCCTGGCTCCAGATTTGAGACGTGGCAGGGCCAGATGAGGACAATTTGGTGACTGTTTACAGAGATGGAGGCAGGGTACCAGGAAGCCACGGAGCAGGGTTGTCCCCAGGGGCACTCACCAGTCCAGGCAAGGCTGGGTGCCCTGGTGAGGAGTAGGGACCTTCTACCCAGGGGTGTGGCCAGGAGCCCGGGAACCAAGGTCCTTCTCTCTCTTCCCTTGCTCCAGCAGCCTCCAGGGCTACCCTTGGTGGCACTCAGCCAAAGGGCTGGGGCACAGGGACCCCACAGCTTCCTCTGGAGGCTGTCTGGGGCTCTGGTGGGGTTGGGGGGCTGAGCCCACTGGCTTCACTGTATCTCCCAAAGCCCATGTCCCTTGCCTGCTCCCAACCAATGTGGGCCCCCAAAGTGCTGGAGTGGGACAGAGACCCCACGAGGGACCCTCCCCTCACTCTTGGACCTGGGTGTTGTGGCTTTTGGCAAAAATGGCCACATATATTCCAAGTTTATCCCTCAGCTGGGATTCCTGGTGTGAGCCTGGCCCCCAGGGTGGTAGGCTGGACCCTCCTCTGGAGGCAAGGTAGAGGTCAGCAGGGGGTCCTGAGGCCCCACGGCACTGGCACCAGTATTGGCTGAATGGCAAAGCTGCATATCTCTCCTTCCCCAAGAGGCTCTGTCTCCGTCACCTTCCCTGGCGGCCACCAGCTTGCTGACAAGTCCCCACCCTCCAGTCTCACTGATGGGGCCACTTTGGCCTTCGCTGAGAGTGGGTTAGGCTTGAGGCCATGCCAAGAACCAGGGAAGCCCACGCTGGCTGTCAGCTTACACACAGCCTTGTCCCTGCCGCTGGGTACTTTGTGCCTGGGTCCCTGGAGCAGTTGCTGGGTGGCAGGATGAGACTGCATTTGACGTCCCCTGTCCACAGGACCTCCAGAGAGTGGCTGCCCTCTGGACAAATGCAGGCACCTCTGTGGGATGTGGGACCCTCACTCTGCCTGTTCTGCCAGCCCAGGGCTTGCCTCTTCCCCAAGCTTCTCATCTTCATCTCCTGAGTCTGGCCAACCTTTCCATGGATGCTGCCCGTGGTGGCGGCGAGGGTGGCTGGATGTGCCACCTTGGTTCTGCTGTGGGGCATCTCTTCCGTCTTCCAGGGCCAGCCCCCCCGCTATGATGCTGTGCCTGTCCCCTTCCGGGTGACAGTGTGCACCCTGCATCCATAAACCGCCTCTGCACTTTCCCTTCTCGTCCGGAGGCTGGTAGGATGATTGTCACAAAGCCCTCAGTGTGGGCTGTGGCCTGGGCAGCAATTCAGGAGGAGCAGTTTCATGGGAGCTCTGGTCTTTTGCCCGCAGGACTGACTTCCAGATGTGCTGGGGCTGAGTCTGCACTTCTTGGGTAGACACTGCAAGGCCTCGGCTCTTCCTGGGCGGCTGAGTCACATGGCCACTGAGTGCCATTAGACTTCGCCAGGTGGACAGGCAGCTCAGAGCTGCTTTCCAAGTGACTGGAGGAAATGCGCTTTGCCTGGGATGCGAGGTCTGGGCTTGCTGGGGGCATGGCGCTTCTGCCAGATGCTCGGGGCAGGGCCGGGCCTGCTGGGCACCCACACTTGTAGCAGGGGGAACTGTCACAGCCTGGACCTGCTGTGGGGCTTCTGGCCAACATTACCTGCTGTCTAGGAAATGGGTGGGAGCGGGACGCCTGGGTGTGCACGCTGCTCCCCAAGCCCAAATCCACCGGAGACGGAGTCTTACTCTGTCACCCAGGCTGGAGTGCAGTCTTGTGATCTTGGCTCACTGCAACCTTCTCCTCCTGGGTTCAAGCAATTCTGCCTCAGCCTCCCAAGTGGCTTCGATTACAGGTGCCTGCTACCACACCAGGCTAATTTCTGTATTTTTAGTAGAGACAGGGTTTCACCATGTTGGTCAGGCTGGTCTCAAACTCCTGACCTCAGGTGGCCCTTGTGTCAGATACGTGCCCACCACATGTGCAGACTTTCTGCTCAGAAACCAGCCTGCCCATCCGCTCTTCCCAGAGCCACTGGTGTCATTGGTCATCTCATCACTGCTGCAGACCCAGAGGGTACTCCAGAAATGTGTGTGTGCCTGAGCCGTCGGGACCTGGTCAGAGCCAGCTCTGATGCCACACCTTTCTGGATGGGGCCTCTGGGACCTGCTGCTGCTGCTCCTGAGGCACTGGACGCAGGCCCCTGCAGGGTGTGGGGAGGCCCAGCTCCCACCTCTGTGCACAGGCTGGGTTGAGTCCAGGCCAGCGACCACTGGCTCTGCCCAGGAGCTCGGGACGGTGGCTGAGACCCCAGTGCTGGCGACTGTCCCAGGCAGTGAGGCGGCCAGTCCGTCAGACCCACATTTTGTCTTTTGTGTGAACTTGGATCTGCTCCTATGATGTTCTCCAGGCAGCTGCTGCTGGCACGGATGTGCCTTCCTCTCCTTGGAGTATTCCTAGGTGTGGCCGTGTCTGAGTCTAATCTGGGGCCAGTCCTGGGCAGAGCAGCATGGGCACACACACAGATGGCGCTCTTGCATAGGGGGTGGCCCAGCTGGGGACTCGGTGCCCTTCCCCATGCCCACCTGCCCCGTGCCTGCCTGCCCTATGCCCTCTGTGTCTCAGGTCCCTCCTTGCCCTGCACCTGCTGGTTTCTCAGCAGATAAGGGCCCCTGTGGGGTGAAGCCCTTAGTGGGGCTTGGGCACTCGGCGCTGGCCCTGTTTGTCCTGCCTGTGGCAAAGGAGCAAAGCCACGGGCGCTGGGCCCCACTGCCCTCGCGGCTGTCTCACCTTTTCAGAGGGAGAAGCCAGGGTCAGCCGCCCCATCTCAGAATCACTCCTGTTGCCGTGGCAACCCACCTCCCAGTCTCTGACCCTTGTCCTCCACCTGCACCTCCTCCCGTGGCTCTGCGGGGGTGGGGAGCGGTCAGGAGAGGCAGTTTGAGGAACTGTGAAACAGTTTCCCCACGGAAAGCTTAGACCTGGCTCCGAAAATTTGTCACCTGACCCCAGGACCCCATCTGCAGGTTCTGTGTCCTGGGCCACCCAGGAACTGATGACCTCAGGGCCCAGAGGGGTAGGGGCAGTGGATGGCAAGGAGACTGCTCTGAGCCTGGGCCCTCACCACAATTAGGGGTGTGGCAGACTCCATTGGGGGTAGGGGGCCTCCCTTTCCTTGGCCCTACCCACACTGGGACATTACCACATGGATGAGACCTGGTCTGCCCCCCAGGGTGAGCACCCCAACTGTAGGGCTGTTGGCCCCACAGGGTTGTGGGGTGTCCCTTATGGTGTGCTAAAGTGCAGGACCCAAGAAGTAAAGAGACAGGACACTGAAGAACTGGAGAAGAGCAGCTGGACTTGGAGGGCCACGCCACCTTCTGTGTGTTCGAGGCCCCGAACACACAGAAGCATCTGTATTTATTAGGTACAAGCAGGGGGAAGGGTCGTGAGTGAGGTCATCATCTATAGGCTTAGTGATAGGGCATATATAATCATGTGAGTTACAAGCAAGGGGGCCACCCCATTATATCACCTGGGCAGAGAGGTGGGCCGTGCGCAGCCGGGGGCCGTGCCATGCTGTGCGCAGTATTAGAGGGTCATGTACAGAAAAAGCATCCACCCCCATTAGGTCACCGAGGTAAGGAGGCAGGCTGCGTGCAACAGGTGTCGTGTGCAACACTTCTTATCTGGGGGCTGGAGACTTCAAAGGGTTTCTAATAGAAGGATACTGTAAGCCAATGCAGTGGGAGCTGACAGACTTGTGCTCTTCTCTTAGGATATTTAAGGGAGGATGATTTGAGCCAGCACAGAAGTGAGAAAAGACTGACAGGGTGTACAGCCGCTCTGACTAATCACACCAGAGGGGTTCTTCTCCCTCAGTTATTTCCAGGATCTCAGGCCTGAAGCCGACTTTCCACAGGAACTGGATGCAAGGTACTACAGCTCCTTTATCAGGAGGAGAGGCTCTTGATCCAAGCCTGCCATACAGCATATGCCCTTTCAGGCAAGATGACACCGCCTGGGTCGTTGGTTCTTGTCCTGGTCTGGCTGTTTTTCCCATGTACTTGCTTCCACTCTACGTCTGCTCTAGGCATTCCTCCTACTACAAACTACTATATGGTTATACAGAAGGATTCTATAAATCAGCACGAAATGTGTTGGTACAGCGCCGACTACATCCGTTATATGATTATAGAGAAGGATTATATGGAAATAAGTATGATTATATATATTAGCTAGATGCAGTAAGCAGTAAGTTATATGGTTATATAGAAAGATTATATGGTACTAAATATGATTATATATATATAAGCTAGATATAAGCAAGCGGTGAGTTATACTTCAAGCACTAATTGTGCCTGGAGTCTGCACAGGTCTCCTTCCTCGGTGCCCATGGGGGATGTTACCCACACCCAACACCAGGTCAGGAATCCCTGCTGCAGGGGTCCCACCTGGGCTGAAGAGAGGCGCGGCCCAACCAAGGCCCAGGCTGGGCCCTGCACACCCCACACAGCCGCCCTGTTCTCTTGCTTCCATGCCCTGGTGCAGCCCGTCTCTTGGGGTCTTGGTGCCTGGCTTATATGATAGCAATTCCTCCAGGGCTGCAAAGGAGGGGCAGAGGGAAGCCACGGATAGGCCCTGGGTGCCCCACTGCCCACCACTGTTGCCCAGGGCACTGCACTTGGTACAGCAGCAGAAATGCCAGCAGAGTCACCTGGAGCTCGACCATGGTGTGAAGGTGCCACATAGGCCAGGTCCCTCTGGGTGGAGATGTGTAGAGATGGCACAGGCCAAGCACCTCTGGGTGGAGATGTGTAGAGATGGCACAGGCCGGGCATCTCCGGGTGGAGATGTGTAGAGATGTCACAGGCCAGGCTCCTCCGGGTGGAGATGTGTGTAGAGATGGCACAGGCCGGGCACCACCGGGTGGAGATGTGTAGAGATGGCACAGGCTGGGTCCTCCAGGTGGAGATGTGTAGAGATGGCACAGGCCAGGCACCACCGGGTGGAGATGTGTGTAGAGATGTCACAGGCCGGGCACCACCGGGTGGAGATGTGTAGAGATGGCACAGGC